AAAGAAGGCAATAATATTTAGTATTTGGAGTTTCCAGGGAAAATTCAAAATTGGATGTGTTGTACTTGAGGAATGGTCAGGCTACATCTCTCCTTAAGTGTTGAAGTCCCAGAGTACTCTAGTTTATGCTGCTTGACTATCTATGCCTGAAACCTTGTTTTGAGCACCTTGTCATATAGGATTGTGTTACACCTACTGGAACCAAGAGCTGTATGAAACTTCCTCACCTCTGGAGAATCCTGGGGCCTGCTTCAAGATTTTCTATCTATTTCTATGAATAGACTAATGGCTTCTAATACTTTTTTTTTAGGTAAGAAGAACTTTATACAGTCATTGGCTCTTTCAACATTTACACCAGAATATTAAACCATCGCATAGATTAGGAATCTGAGGTTCACATGTAGGGAGTAATTTAAAAATAGTCATGACCTAAAAGTAGTATCTTATTTTTATTTTATTTATTTATTTATTTTGTGAGATTTTTGCTATAGGGCGTGTGCACTCGCCAGGCAGACAGAGAGAGACAGAGACAGAAAGCGAGAAATCACCCCCCAGGGGGGATGGCCACACTGCAATTCCTTCTCCTTCATTCTCCTTTTAGGATATTGGGCATGCACGCACATGCGCCCAGCGTGAGTTTTAAGCCACCGAGTCTGGGATATGAACTGCAGTCGACTACGTAGGAGTCCAGCGACATAGCCATTATGCTAACTGCTGGTCCTAAAGTGGCATCTTATTATTATAGTTTTACTTGTGATAAGTTTGTAAAGTATTTAACATTCATGAGGAAGATAGTTTAGTTATGAAATTTAAAGCACAAGCTTTATTATGACCCATCTAGAATTCTTAATTCAAAGTTTTTTGAAAAATTTCCAAGTTGTATATATATATATATATACATATACATATACATATACATATACATATACATATACATGCAAGGGTTTCTAAAAGGCAGAAGCCAGCTTGGCACTGAGAATGAATAAACTGGATCCCCAAACACAGTTTGATCTTTCTATAAACTCAGTTTCCCTCTCTGCCTCAGCATAGTTGTCTCAACCCTTTCACTCTGGACTTTGGTAAGATGGCTCTATCTAAACTGGAATTTACATGATCTAGGAATCAGTGACCTTCGAAGATGTCATTATAAACTTCACTCAGGAAGAGTGGGCCCTACTAGGCACATCTGGGAGAAAGCTGTATGAAGATGTGATGCTGGAAAACATCAGTCATCTGGTATCTGTTGGTGAGTCCATCAGTAGTTCTGTGTGCAGGTGCACATGTATTCACTGCATTAATGAGCAAGGGTATAGAAGAGCTTCCTCATGTTTTCCTCCAATCTCTGTCCTGATGCTGCCTTAGACCCAATAACCATATTAAAGAAATTCTTTAATTACATATTATTTACATCTAGCTTGTCATGGCATCAAAATGTCTTCATCATAATTTGTTATCTTTATTTCTCTTTTTATTTTATTTAGTATTTTCTTATGGGTGAGGGAGAAAGAGAGGAAAAAGAGAGGAAGAGACTCTTAATAGATCATTCATACTGTAGTCTACCCCATGTTTCAGCCAGGTGTGATTTTGGGCACATATGTGCACATCTGAAGTACTCTGGGCAGCTGTGGGACTTGAACTCAGGACCTTTCCCATGTGGGTTCTGTTGTGTTATTGCTACACCACTCCCATACCTTCATGTATTGCTTGGCACCAAATCTCTAAGTCAAGCTATAAGTGGGAACTTAGTACATATTCTTGAAATCATAAATAGATAAGATAAATTTATAAATACAGTCATTTTTGGGGATTGGTTATCAGACCCCCTGACATACAAATATCCAAAGATTTTAGAATTCCTTATATAAAATGGTATGCTATTTGCGTATAACCTGCACATAACGTCCTTCAGTATTTCTTTTGTAATCTCTAGGTTTCTGGTAATAGTTAATACAGTATCACTAACTGATATATTATGTTTTTTGTTGTTACAGGATTACTTTTACTTTTTTTTTGGAGAGGTTTTTGCTATAGGGTGCGTGTGCTCACCAGACAGACAGAGAGAGACATAGAGACAGAAAGCGAGAAATCACCCCCCGGGGGGATGGTCACGCCATAATCCCTTCTCCTCCATTCTCCTCTCGGGATCTTGGGCATGCACACACACGCGCCCAGCGTGAGTTTTAAGCCACCGGGTCCAGGATGCAAACCTCAGTCAACTACGTGGGAGTCCAGCGACATAGCCATTACGCCAACTGCTGGTTCCCAGGATTATTTTTACTTTTAAAAACAGTTTCAGTGTGTGATTGTTTAAATTTACTACTATGGAACTCATGGATATTGAAGGCCAAATGTAATTATTCTGCTCTAGGCAGTTTGCTGAGGTTTGAGATCAAACTAGTGAAAATAGCAGAGTTTTGATTATTCCTGTGGACTTTTTGTTTATTGGATTGTACTTGAGTAAAATATTATTTTTTTTTCTTTTGAGAGGTTTTTGCTATAGGGCGCGTGCGCTCGCCAGACAGACAGAGACATAGAGACAGAAAGCGAGAAATCACCCCCCAGGAGGGATGGTCACGCTGCTATCCCTTCTCCTCCGTTCTTCTCTCAGGATCTTGGGCATGCACGCACATGTGCCCGGCGTGAGTTCTAAGCCACCGGGTCCGGGATGCGAACCACGGTCGACTATGTGGGAATCCAGCGACATAACCATTACGCTAACTGCTGGTTCTCTTGAGTAAAATATTCATCCCACTGCAGAAGCATTTGATTTCTCTGTTTTTGAACAGAGTGGTAAGTCTGTACCCTGACTTTGAACTTGGCATCGTGTCCTGAGGTCCTCACTATTCTGGGCACATACTTGGGATTTCTCCCTGGTGTAGTGAAGGCCCTTCAATGCTTCCTGTGTTAAATGTGTTACTTGGGATGGCATCCAGGGTTGTCCATGTTCTTCCTCCATGGTTTTGCATCGACTTGTTGATAATACACATTTATTATCATAAAGTTCAGTTACTTTTGTTCCATGAACAGGATATCAGCTCTGTAAATCAGATTTGCTTTTCTGTTTGGAAAAAGGTGAAATGGTGTGGATGGTGGAAGCAAGAGGATTTTCTCATTGCCAAAGTCCAGGTGAGCTGCAGGGACTTGCACCCCTAGATTGGTTAGTAACTAATCTCTTGTTATTATCAGCTGCAGATTTTGTTACATAGATTTTTTTCTAAAATATAGGTGAGGACTTTGGGACAAAGTATTTTAGATATTGTTATTCCTTCTAAATATTATTCATAATATATGTGTCCTCCTCACATAATTTCTGGCTTTAGGAAAATATTGATGTTTTGAGTTATCAGAAAAGTCACGATGCATTTTGCATAGAAAAACAGAGAAAAAAAATGTCCTTACTTTTCTGATTGCAGGAGATTCATTGGGCTACATTTAGTACAGGAACCTCATGGATAATGAATGCTATAAGATGGTCTAGTAATACAGTCATCCTTCTTAGAGGAAAAACTCCCTCTAGATTATGGCAAGCTTTTACTGTCCCATAAAACAGAAGCCACAAATACCTTATGAAGCCAGGACCAGCAGTTGGCATAGTGGTTATGTTGCTGGACTCCCATGTAGTAGGCCCTGGTTTGAGTCCTGGACCCGGTAGCTTGAACTCAGGCCAGGTGTGTGTGCATGCCCAAAATCCTGAAAAGAGAATGGAGGAGAAGGGATTGTGGTGTGGCCATCCCCCTTGGGGGCATGATTTCTTGCCTTCTGTCTGTCTGTCTAGCGAGCTCATGCTCCTTAGAGCAAATAACTCTCAATAAATAAATAAAATACCTTATGGAGGGAAAACTATAAATTCCTACAGTGTTTCCTTATAGAACATGGTCATTCTGGTGTCCTGGGATGTTTCCGAAAAAAGTTCTCATCAAGAGACATCTTTTATTAAAGAGAGATTTTTGTTATAGGACACATGTGCTTGCCAGAGAGACAGAAAGTGAGAAATCATCCCCCAGGATGGATGGCCACACTGAAGTCTCTTCTCTTCCATTCTTCTCTTGAGATTCTGAGCAGGCATGCACACATGCCCAGGATCAGTTTCAAGCTGCTAGGTCTGACTCAAACCATGGTAGAATATGTGGGAGTCCAGTCACCTAACCATTATACTGCTGGTCCCCATCAGTAGACTTTTAAAATATTATTGGCATTTTTTCCTAGCTTTGCTATCTTCATCACTCTTTGGCTCAGACTATGCCACTTTAAATACTGTCCTTTGTTGTTGTTGTTTTTTTTTTTTGAAAGGTTTTTGCTATAGGGCGTGTGCACTCGCCTGAAAAACAGACAAAGAAAGAGAGACAGAAAGTGAGATGACCACGCCAATCTCTTCTCTTCCATTCTCCTCTTGGGATCTTGGGCATGCACGCACACACGCCTGGCGTGAGTTTCAGCCATCGGATCTGGGACTCGAACTGTGGTCAACTCCGTGGGAGTCCAGCAACATAGCCATGACGCCAACTGCTGTTCCCTATAAATACATCTACAAATTGCCTTTTCCTCGATTTTCAAGGGGAAAGTCAGTTCTAAAAGTCATTGGGTGGCTAAATTTAAGTCACTGCAGTTTTCTCTATGGTGAGCCTTTTTAAATCACTCAGCCTGCATTATCCCATTTATAGACTTTTCTCTTCAAATCTGCTCCAGTCCCTCATTCATCACTCAGAAATGAATCCTGCCTCACACCTCAGGTCTGTTTAAGTGAGGGCAGCAGAGCTCACTGTGGGCTTATCTTTCTTGTTTGTAACTGCTCCTTGGCTTTTTACTTGTATACATCCTTCTGGGTAGTGTTTATTCTTTTCTCTGCTAGGGTCATGCACGTAGTCACCATACAGTACTTTTTGTTCAGTGTGGAAATGTTTTAGCTCTGCTTGCCTTTGAAGAGGCCATGAGTTTCCTCCCCTTCCTAGGTTTGGTATGTAGTTAAGAAATTATATTAAATGAACCCATAATAAATGAAATGCTTTTGAAGAACAAAATATTCCTTACAAAGCTTATAACTCAAAGTATTTTTTTTCAAGTTCATGACTTTATAAAGAGAACTTTTCCTTTTTTTTTTT